TAGTCACTTAGCTGTACACACCCCCACTCACCCACTGACTGCCTGGGAGAAGCAGACAGGAAGAGAAACACTGGGCAGCTCCTGCAGTGACCCCAGGATGAACTGGACTCGGGGATACCCGTCCACCAACCACTTTCTGTACAGATCACCTCTGCACTGAGATCAGTCTACCCCCAGAATCTGGGCTGCTCCCCTGTTCAACTGGCCAGCCTCCAGCTCTGTCCCACTGGGATTGTCCCCCCCCCTCCCCACTGGGTCCCCCTGATCACAGGAAGGGATTTTCTTTATTGAAGAAATGTGCAGCAAAACTGTCCCTCTGCATTAAAAAAAAAAAAAAAAAATCTTGCAGGGGATTAATTCCAGATTTCGGTACCCAGAACCACCTTGGATTCACGCACGGGGAAGAACGCTCTGCGATTCCTGTTCGCTGTGGATCTCGTCTGGCAGAACTTGTCCTTTATTTTGTCTCCGTAATGCAGATCCTGCATGATCGGCCCAGGAGAATTCCTAGGTCCTTCAGGAGATTTCCTGGTATCCACAATAACCCGGCTAGCAAAAATCCTACGGGGTTTGTTTTGAGTTTGAATTCCCCATGAGCGCGGGTGGAGCAGTGATGCCTGGCAGCGCCGGGGCCCTGGGTTCAATTCCAGACCCCCTGCTGCTGTCTGTGTGGAGTTTGCATGTTCTCCCTGAGTTCATGTGGGTTTCCTCCCTCAATCCAGACAGAGTGGTGGCTTAACTGGCACTAGTGTGAGTGTGTGTCTGTGTGTGCCCTGCAGTGGACTGGTGTCCTGTCCAGGCTGTACCCTGTCCAGAAAGAGTCTGGCTGCCCTGTGACCCTGTCCTGGATAAATCACCTTGAAAGTGGAGGGATGGATGGTGTGGTTCTAGAAGGGAATTCTGTTGGATTTGAGAGAGGGAATTGGGGGCAGGGGTTCAGAAAATTCTTAATACAGAATCTTAAATGTAATCAGTACTCCTTCTCGTACCGAAATCTCCTCGTGAGGAAAATCTGTTGCTGTTTCTTTAGTGTTGAGAGTGATGAAAATCCAGAGCCCTGTCCAGGTGCGCAGCACGCTAACGCAGTTATTCACATGACCACACAATACGACTGGAAGAAACCGCAAGAACTTTACTGTGATAGAGATGGAATTTTTCGATGGAAACGGGGAGGGGGACAGTGAGCTGAGACATGATCGGTCCCTTTTTCATTTTATTTTTTTTCGGGGGGGGGGGAGGGTAACGTAGGTGTCGCCTGTGTCACAGTGAGCAGAAAAACTCAGAGAAGATTTTTTTTTTAAAAAAGAATGGAAGAGGGAGAGCTGGAGAGAGTGGGGATGAAGAGAAACAGGAAATAGACAGGAGAGGGGGGGAAGGGGGGAGAGAGAGAGAAGGGAGAGCAGGTGAGGCAAAGAGGTAGAAACAGAGTAACAGGAGGAAGCACATACCAATAAAGACACAAGGTTCCCCAGCATCCAGAGAGATACACAGTTAGGAAGCAGTAACACAGTGAGAGATACACAGAAACAATCAGGCTTACAGGTCTGGTCAACTAGACATCGGTCACATAACACTGTAATGACAACAGCAAGGGCTAACTGCACCTACAGTGTGTACTGTACAACAGGCAACATGCAGAGGAAAGAAAGGTCTTTTATTTCAACATTTATTTTTTTATGCATCATTTCTTTTTTTTTTCTTAAAAGATTTTAAATAAAATTAGTCTTATTCGAGAAAAATAATTAAACGTTTTTTTTCTCCCACCTTTCTGTTTTTTTTTTGCTCTTACGCAGCAGAATCTGTAAACACGGTACAGGTATTTCAAAACGAAAAAGAAAAAAAAAAGTACAAAACCATAAAAACAAAATCCGCCCGAGAGATGAGGTCAGCCGTCCAGCCTTCCCTAAGGCATGTCCATCATTCGGGTGATGATCGGTCAATTATGACGATATTCAGAACAGGATTAGCTGCCCATCACATCATTTGATGCGTTATTGGCTGAGGCGGCACTAAAGGGCTTGTCGTCATGTTATTCAGGCTATGATTGGCTCATCTAAATGTCACTCACACCACTACAGGCTGATTTTGACATAATTCAAGCATCCATTTAGTAGTATTTGTTTCGGTTTAGGGGGACAATATTCTACCTTTTTCTTGAGTCCTAGCTATTAATATTGCTCAGAGGAACTGTAGTGGAAAATCTAAGTTTGGGGGCGATTATTGGACAGGGCTTTCTGTCTGTCAAACACCTTGGAGTCGACCTCTGCAAACCGCAGCACTGGTGAACCGTACAGTTAAGAGTGCCCCCCCCAGTGCATGTAGCGGCAGCACATACCGCCACAAGCAGGATTCTGCACTGATGCCAGTGAACCTTTCCTTTTGGCAAAGACTGAACAGAGACTTGCAACGGGGGAACGAGCTGTCCAGTCCAGCTGGGGGGGGGGAGATACAGGCACCTGCCCAGCGCGATTGTGTTAAAAATCAGGAAGACATTTCCACAAGCTCCCCCAGCGCAACACACAAGGGTCACGGGAGAAGAACGGAAGAGGAAGAGTCGGGCAGAAAGGGAAACATTCTGTACAAGCTGCTTGATGGAGCTGGTTT